ACAATTTGCCATTAAATCCGACCTACCAAACTTCATTAGGATCGGCCGACTATATCCTATAGGCGCCATATAACTGAACGATTGGAAATGCCATAACTTTGGTGTTTTTAAAGTTAGGAAGTTGGGATTTTTAAGAATGCATCATATGAATGCATCATATGAATAATTTTGGAGAATATAATTTACAGAATATTCTGCAAGGGTATTTCAACTTCGGCTCCGCCCGAAGTTAGCTTTCCTTTCTTGTTTTTATACCCTTGCAGAGGGTATTATAATTTTGGTCAAAAGTGTGCAACGCAGTGAAGGAGACATCTCCGACCCTATAAAGTATATATATTTTTGATCAGGATCACCTCCTGAGTTGATATAGCCATGTCCGTTTGTCCGTCTGTCTGTTTCTACGCGAACTAGTCTCTCAGTTTTAAAGATATCGAATTGAAACTTTGCACACACCCTTCTTTCCTTTGCACGCAGTATATAAGTCGGAACGGCTGGGATCGGCCGACTATATCCTATAGCTGCCATATAACTGATTGATCGGAAATGCCATAACTCTGCTGTTTGTTAAGTTAGGAAGTTGGGACTTTCTATGGGTTTTATATTTGGCCAATTAATCCGACCTACAAAATTTCATAAGGATCGGACGACTATATCCTATAGCTGCCATATAACTGATTGATCGGAAATGCCATAACTTTGGTGTTTGTAAAGTTAGGAAGTTGGGATTTTCTATGGGTTTTATTTTTGACCAATCAATCCGACATATCAAATTTGATAAGGATCGGCCGACTATATTCTATAGCAGCCATATAACTGAACGATTGGAAATGGTGTTTAACTTTGGTGTTTTTAAAGTTAGGAAGTTGGGATTTTTTATGAGTATTAAGAATGCATTATATGAATAATTTTGGAGAATATAATTTGCAGAATATTCTGCAAGGGTATTTCAACTTCGGCTCCGCCCGAAGTTAGCTTTCCTTTCTTGTTTATTTATCTAGCTAGAGCTTTTGAGGCACTTATTTGTGTCAAAAAAAAACCAACCGTCTGCTTTTGGCTGAAAATAAGTGGCCGATAACAGCAAACGAGCGTCAGTCATGGCAGTCAATTTGTCAATTCAAGTCAACGGCAGCAGGTTAATATCAATAATCAGATAAGAAACGAGACATTTTCGTATGCATGCTGGTTAGAATAACAGACCTTAGACGATAACTTAATTTCCTTTCTGATAACTTGAGATTCAATAATATTCAATATTCAATAATAATATTTTTAAATAATTGTTTATCCTCGCAGAAGATAAAATTTTAGTGAATATTTCAACGCAGAAAAGGGGACCATTTAAAAAAAAATATATTATTTAAGGATTTTCAACCGAGCCGATAAAGACAACCGTTGCCCCCCTGTCGATTCCTACTTAAATTAGCATTTCAATTGTAATGCTGTCTTTATAACTATTTCCCACTTGTTGACAATTAATAAGCATCAAGGTATTGTTACTATTTTTTTTAACCTTTTCTGGACCTATAAAGTATATATATTCTTGATCAGTATCACCAGGAGAGTCAATGCAGCCATGTCCGTCCGTCCGTTTCTACGCAAACTAGTCCCTTAGTTTTAAAGCTATCTGCTACAAGTCGGAACGAGCCGGATCGGGCGACTATATCATATAGCTCCCATAGGAACAATCGGAAAATCGAAGTTTATATACCTTTGTAGTTATTACAAAACGAATACATTTCGATTTCTATGCCTACATTACTAAAAACAACGAAGCTATGTCGATTTTGCGATGCATTTTGCCATCTATGATATTCTATATTGTTGTCCGATTTTGACAAAACTAAAAGCGTAATTCTGATATAGTAAATAATTACTATATCTCAAAGGAATATTTTGATAAATACAAAAACAGCAAAATAAATATAAATATTTTTTTTTGAATATTTAGTTTTTTTATTCTTTTGATTTTTGGGAGCTATATGATATAGATTTCCGATTTTAATTTAATTAAAACCGTTATTCCATAGTGTTCAAAGATTAACAAATCCAAAAGAAAAAAAATATTAAGACAACAAAGTTATACCTTTTGTTTAATTTTTTTGCGTTGCAAACTTTTGACCAAAATTCTGCAAGGGTATAAAAAGATGCATTCTGCTAACTAGAATACAATTTGGCCGTGCCAAAATAAAAAATGAAGCATGGTTTCGAGGAAAATGGCATTTCGCTCAAATCGAAAATTGAAAATTCGTCAGCAAAAATTAATATTTCTGAATTGATTGAAAATTTTGGGTTGAGATATATTTTATTTGTCTATAAACATTTATTCTAGCCACCTGTGTTTTTGTTATTTGGTATTTTTATTCCTTATTATGTTTGCCATATAGAAATAAAACAAATCGCAATCTTAAATAAATGACAAAGCAACGAGAAAAAGATTTTGACTTTATAAATGTGTAGCACTAAATTAACAGCCATTTAATTGATAATTTTCTCGTTTATCTTATGAGTGCTTTTTTGATTACTTATAGTTTTCACTATTTGCACATTCTACGCTCGCTTTGACTTTTGTGGGAAGCAACAACGTCAGAAGCAGCAGCGAAAAAGGCACAAAAATCAATAGAATAATAAAACACTCGAGAGGCATTTAATGGACGCAGACAGACGACGGCACGCGATTCTACAATGTTTGTATTGTATTAGTCATTTATCTAAGCGATCGATGGCAGCGAGTCGACAAACATACTTTTATCAAACAGATTCGCATATTCCCATTTTCGAATATCGACCATAAAAACCGATAAAAGATTAAGGTAGTTATTAGCGCTATTTCTAAGCTCAAAGAAGTTGGATCGACTAAATCCGAACTTTTGAACCACTTCTGCCAACCAATTAGTTATTTTGACTTTTAGTTTCAAAAATATGGAATCTTCGAAAATTTTTGAAAAGATAAAAGTTGACTTTCCAATTATTTTTTTGTCCCACTCTATTCTTGCACATATTTAAAAAATTAAACTTTATCATATTTTCCTCAAAAAAATCCTTTGCCCACTCATTGTTTGCCCACCTCTTAAAAAGTAATTATATAAAAAAAACCTGGGGCTTGACAAAGTTAGCAAGACACTTTTTCATTTAAAAGTCAAATTAGATTTAATTAAAAATGACCCAAATTAAAAAAAAAAACGAATTTAATTTAAATTTTACCATACAAAACATAAAAATCGAACTACATTTGTAAAATCATCCAATTTTTTTGACCACCTCTTAATATGTTCAAGCTCTTCCCTCTCTCTATTAACCATTGATATAATATCTAATATCAGGTATCTAAAGTTCTGGGTCCAGAAGGACACCAAGGTAATCAAAATTGCATACATATATATGTATATATGTTGTTTTTAATGTTTTTTTTATTTAAGAACAAGCTAAAAAGAATCTTGTACTGGTCTCAGGGTATCCAAGCAAACAGCTTGTAAAAAGAATTATTTAAAATCCGTAGTATATATTAATAATGAGGAACAAATACTGCCTTACAATAGTGCCAAATTGTTTATGATTGATTTAAATTTTTCCGGTGTTATTTGTGTATTTTACTTAGCTGCTCACCTCTCTTCCCCAAAAACTCAAGAGTCAAATACTATTCTGTTTAAACTTTAAACCATTTTTATTTATAGATATAAATTTAAAAGAATTTAAAGAGAAACGTCAAACTTGGTCGTCACCCTGTCTGCCTAGTCGAGTGAAAATTCGTAATAATTCAGATTTTGTATTATCCTACTCAACGTTAATGAATCACTTAACAGATGTTCAGTTTCAAGGCAGCCTCGGTTGGGGGAGAAGGACGGAACTATTATATAGATGAAATAGGACTGAAACACTTTTGAAAGTTTGCCAAATTTGAAAATCTTTCGGAATCGGTTAAAAGATTTCTTGACAAAATTTCGCGTCTCTCTTTGTATTGCACCTTTTATATTGGCATGCCAGTTTCTAGCTGATCTAAAACGAATCGTTTAATTGGCTCCTAACACTGATGTGGCGATATAATGCAATGATAGATTTAATTGTTTACGTTTTCATAAGAACTTATATATGTTTGTCTTGGTGGAAGTGATCGTTTGTGTGTTGCCAGCCAATTTTAAGAAAGGTGCACTTGGCATTTGGCACAATGTTTCTCTTTGGCTGTTTTTTTTAAATACACTTAGTAATATGAATTAGCGCTAATACTTAAAAATGAAACCGTCGTGCATTATTCATCGGCGACATATTTTTATCATATCAAAAGCTCTTTATAACAGTTTCTGTATCAAAATATGAGTTATCGTCGAATAGTAGACGTTGCGGTTTCTAAATTTGGTTCACTCAATGATAGATAGCACACAAGATGTGTCCAACGCAAATAAGTTGCAAATTACAAGTTCACGATTTCATGTCAACCAACCCCTCTGTAAACAAGCAAATCGTTTGGAAATTGCCGACACAATTTCATTTATTTTTTTGTGTGGACAATTTGTCTATGTCGCTCCATGTGTTTGATGCTGACGCCGCCAATTGTTGATGATCATGATGAGGATGCTGGAAGTGGGTGATGAGGTTCAGGGTAGGAAATCAAACACTCGCACGCGCCATAAGTTCTTGTTATTTGTCATATTTGATCATATAATATTTATTTGCCACACACATTTGTTGTTTTTGAAAAGGCGACACTTCATTGGGCGAAACGGAAAAATGTTCAATAGTTTATTGACTCGTCTTGAATGGCGCACCGAGCGCTTTGATATGTACTTTAAACAATTTGTTAACACAAATAAATTAGACAATCTTCATGTTTTGGCTACTTTGATCCGCAAAGAATGTTTTCAATATTCGTATAACAAAAATAATCTAAAGAATAATCTAAAAGATAAATTTTAAAAAATAATTTAAATGAGAATAGTCTATTATTAAGAGGCAGTTGTATTGAATTGATTTATTTGTTTATTTACAACTCTATTTAACTATTTCAGTATGCCTTGTGAAAAGCATTTCCGAGATCGTTGATCAGTATGTGCAGTCCTGTCAAAAGCATCACACAAAGCCGCTTAAGAGTGTAATGGATCATCTAAAGAGTCTAGATCTAAACCAGCCGAGGCAGCCTCTTCTTCCCCTCAAGGCGAATCAACTAGCGGCCAACGATTGCGAAGCCCTCGAGGAAATTTTTAAAAGGGTATGCAGTGAGTTGAAACCGACTTACAGAGATCTCGATTAATAAAATACGTATATTAACATGTAGATACAATACAAATGCATTGATCTATCCGACTGTACTCTGGACGAGAGCTGCTTGATGGCCCTCTTTCAAATGATCGAATACTATGAAGCTGGTAACGAGTTGGACATTTCCTACAACAAGGAGCAGATGACGAAGCGCTGCTGGGAATTGTGTGCCTACATGGTGGAACGCAGCCAAGAGCTTCAGCTCCTCAACGCCGAGAGCAACCAGATCACAAAATTGGGTGCCGACAGCCTTGGCCGGGCCTTGGGCTCATCCAATCTCCACACCCTAAAGCTGGAGCACTGTGGCCTCAGAGGACAGCCGCTCATCCATCTCTGTAAGTTTTCCGACCCGGATTGGGTTTGAATTTAGGTTTCTAAAATTATCCGATATGACGCATATGCGTTTCCTCATAATCACTGAGTCCAGAGTGAAATGGCTCTAAGGAAAATGTTTTAATTTGTGGATCAAATCGCTATTTGCCTGCATCCGAAATTTATTTATTATACTATAGTATCATTTGCAGGCCGAGGTCTCTACCAAAACAAAATGCTCAAGGAGCTGTGGGTGGGCTACAATGATTTGGACTGCGTGGATGCCCAGCACATAGCCGACATGCTGCGCTACAACCACAGCTTGGAGCTCATCGACATCAGCAACAACAACATTAGAAATGAGGGAGTCATGTACCTGGTACAGGCCCTCATCCTCCAGTCCACAGAGCTGGAACGTCGAATGGGGGCCCTGAAGCGAACACGTGCCATCGAGGTAGACGAGTGCGTGTCGCCTGTGGAATCGGAGCCCTCGGCAGCAATACTCAATTCTGCCAGCTCGGCGCCCAGTCAAGCCAAATATGACGTTGGTAGTGAATCTTCTTCACACGTTGCCTCGATTCCTGAGACTCCAAGGGAGGAGGCAGGCTGTACCGATCCACCGGTAGGTGTCCTAGTTGACGTGGATAATGATAATGACGACGAAAACACCGAAGACACTGTGAGAAACTGCAGCCAAAACGGCGGACAGTCCATGTTGGACAAGCTGCTCTCCATGAACAGTGACAGTAGCAGCGAGGAGGCGCCCTCTAACATATCTACCGACACCCTGGCCGCCGCGTGCTCTGAGGACATCAGCGAGATCAGCAACGAGATTTATGATGCGACCACCGCCAAGGAGCCGCCGTTAAGCGATCAAGTCGGACCGGTCATAATCTCATCCAGCCCGATGGAGTCCGCGGCTCCTGTTGCTGATCCTGAGGAACGCCTGCATCCAGCACAACAGCAAAGTTCCCAAAACGAACGAAACATATGTGGTAAGTTACTTTTTCATTAACCAGTTTTTTCAGAAGAACTGAATTTGTTTCCTTTGCAGATATTACTCCCTCAACAGAGGCTAAAACCGTTGAACCCAATGAATCCTGTGTACAGAACAACATCATAAACAACAACAATAATAACAATGCTAACAATTCCCAAAACAATAGCAACAATAATAACACAATCCAATTGTCGGCGGGAGCAACAGCAACCTTAGCTGTCGTAGCTCCACCAATGGAAGTCGAAACCAATCCCAGTGGATCATCGCCAGCGCCCATTTTCGAGGTAACCGCTGAGGAGAGCGACTGTATAAATGGCAGTGGAGCGGGGGCTGGTGGATCTCGGCCGCTGGACGTGAACAAAAACGCAAAGGTGGGAGACGACTTCGAGGATACGCACAGCACAGACTCGGCGTTCGAAAGCGCATCTGAAGGCGATATAAGTCGCCATTTGCCCGACGAGTTTAGCAGGCTTTCTGTGTCACTGGAGAGCACGCGGCTGGACGACATAGCCAAGGAGATGTGTGGCATAGAGACGGCCACCATAGCCACAGAGTCCACTGAGTGTCTGCTTGCCGCCCAGGAGGCAGCTACGCCTAGTCCTACGCCAGAAGTCGGAGCACTGAATAAACTAGAAGATCCATTCCCACCGCCAAAGGTTACCATTGCCGAGGAGTGCCTCCAGGCGAATAAAGAACAGAGTCAGCCCTTCCAGTGTCCCAGTCCGGCGCCCACGCCCCCACCTCCGTCCACATCGCCGGGTGGAGCTAGCATTGGACTAAGGCGCACGGAGTCCAGCTGTGCCTACCTAAATCAGTCTACCCGTAACCGATCCCAGAGCTCCGACAGCCTGTGCAGCGAGACATCGCTAGACGGTATGAGCAGTGGAGCCAGCAACAACAGCGTCAGCTCGACTGCCTCCGCCGATCCCAAGTTTGCCGAGAAGCTGACCAAGAACGACACGCTATCGCGTCGCCAGCTGGCTGAGGCCACACTGGAGGCCAATCGCTCGCCCAGCGGTCTGAAAGCCCTCACCCTGTGGAACAATAATCTGACCAAGGACTGCGCCCCTGCTGTAGCCGAGCTGCTGCAGAAAACCATTTCTCTGGAACTGCTTAACATTGGCAAGAATTGTCTGTCCAACGAGTTTATATCGACTATTAAAGACAGTCTGACGAAAAACACCACTCTTACCACGTTGGGGCTACAGAGTGCCCATCTAAGCGCCAAGGGTATCGAAACACTGGCTTCCATCCTCACATTTGGTGGCAACAGCAAGCTTCAGCGTATTGACATTCGAGACAATAAACTAGAGGTGGAAAGTCTGAACATAATCGCCGAGGTGCTCAAGTCGAATAAAACGCTCACCCAGATCGACATTAACGATGAACCAAAGCGCCTGACGGTAAGATATACAACCACAAATTTAACTCTGTTATTTCAAGAATCGATTAATCTCATCCGAGGCCACAGTAGAAGTTGAGTTGCATTATTTATGCTCAATCTTTTGTTAAGCAAATGAAAAATAGTAAATTTAACATGAAAATAATCAATTCTTTTGTAAATTCTCTGGATTTAACTCTATATTCAATTGAGTTTTATTTTTTTAAATCAAGAGACTACAAATGTCTTGCAACCATTTGCTGCACAAAAGAGTTTAATTATTTCATGCTCTAAATTATATACTCTTGGTAAACATAAATAATGATGAAAAATGAGATATAAACATATGTTGATATCGCAAATGTTTAGATATTGAGTAATCAAAATAAGATAATCTATTATATTTGGCTGTGTTTTGAAAGCTTCTGAAGTTCTGTATCTATTTGGTACTAGAGACCTGCACGATACCGAAGCCGATGAGTACGATCCTATTTCGATCCTTGTATGATTAGTTCATTGTCGAAAAGTTAATAAAATGTTTATCATAAGATATTTAAATATTATATATGTGTGAGGGCATTTAGATTTGTTTTTACAGTTCTCCAAATCACTATTTTTGGAGTTGGAATTACAAGTTCTGCAAAAGTGTTTTTTTAAATATTCTTCCTATGATGAATTACCCCTTTGTAATATTTTACAAAGGACTTAAATCGGTTTCAACCAGCGAACATATTAGAGGAGTGGTTAATGTTGTTGATAACATTTGTTCTAAAGAATTAGCTGTCTTATTTTAAAAATAATTTCATTTAGAGTTCTTCAGGTTTAAAGTTAGCAAAAATGTGAGTTAGACAATTACTGGTTTCACTCGATGCGATCCAGACGTGCAGGTCTTTCTTTGTTAACCGAAAAGGCTTAAAGATTATTACGTTACCAAGGGTAGAAGAAGCTACGGCTAGCCGTAGCTAACCCCTCTATGATCGTGCTTGGTTTTGGATGGCTGTGTGTTGGACGCATAAGGCGTTGAGAGTTTGACTTTCAATTTTTAATTGAATCGTTTCCATTTGTGGTCACTGTTGTTGTTGCCTCTCTCATCTCCGATAAAGTTGCCCATAGTGCCGATAGTAAATGTTATACCGCCATCGCCATTGCCCCAGGAGAGCGTAAGTAAACCCCCACTCAATTTGCTCCTCCAACTCTTCTGCCCACTGCCATATGTGCTTAACTGCTGTCCACTGAGAACGCTTGGCTTGCCTCCGATAACAACGCTAACTACTCAAATGCACTCTTCCCGCCTGGTTCTTGTCTCTTTCGTACTCCAAATCCGAGCTAATTTTTCACTCTAGATGCTTGCCTCAGTAACAATCTGAACTTAATAAAGTACGTTAGATGTTAATTTGCTCCGTAATACTTTAATGATATTATTCAGGATAATGCTATTTTTAAGAAAATACAGCTCCTTGCGGCTTTCTGGTCCTGAATTTCTTTGGAAACATCAGACCAGAATTTAAATATCCCATTGCACTATCCACTTCTTTTGTCAATTGAGCAATTTAGCAACTGAACACAAAGTAAGCATCAGCTTTAGTTAATTAACCAATGAGCTATCGAATCCTATTTGTTCGCTTCTGAAACTGATCGATTGATATCGTTCTCGTTTCCTATTTCAGATTGGCAGCGATGCCCATTTGGATTACACAAGGGTGCTGGGCACCGTGCGTTCCCTGTGCTCGCGAAACGAGAAGCGGCAAGCCCAGGAACTCGCGGAGAAGGCGGCGAACGTGGTCGGCGGCAGCAGCAGTCTTGGCGGCAGCCTTCCGGGCATACGGTGTCGCGGCGGTTACTACTTGGGCTCGCGGAAGATCTCGTTGACCTGCCACAGTCGCCCCCTCGTGGACGCGGCTACTGGCACGGTGACGGCAACGACAACCGCGGCCGCTGCAGCAACCGCCCTGCCCACACCGGCCGCCCTGCTGGAGGTGAAGCGAAAGAGTGGACCCCGTCTCCGCTCGCCGGGCCCCAGTCCGCCCACTATATCGCCGTCGTCCTCGCCAAATCGTAGCCGCTTTCACGTGTCGCGCGTGGCAGAAGTGGCCAGTCCACTGATCTCGCCGCTGGCCCAGCATCCACCCCCACACACGCCGCGTTCGGCCAGCAGCTGCATGTCCATACCCACTATCGGATCGCCCAGTGGCAGCCAGAGCAGCCTCAATGCTGTTGGAGCCCTGCCCACCTCCAGTTCGCTGCCCGCGATGGCCTCTGTCACTTCTTCGACGCAGACAGTGAAGCGGCTGTCAGTGTCGCCTAGGTCACGTTTCCATGTTTCTCGCATCTACGAGGATCCACAAGTGCCGATGGCCAACCGCCAGATGCCGCCGATCACACCGCACACGCCACCCATCGACCTGCCACCCACCCCTATGCTGAAGTCGGCGAGGAAGGCAGTCCTGCTGTCGGAGGCAGTGGAAGCAGCAGCTGCCGCGGCGCCAGTGAGCAGTGTGATTATTGTAGAGGCCATCGATGACGGCGATGCACATAAAAGTGCGAGTGTCGAAGAGGTTGCCGGGCAAAATCTTTCGCCACACGTGACCAGTTCACCCACCTCAAGCCATTCGAGCTCAACGTCACCCGGTAGTAGCAGCAGTGGGAGCAGTAGCCAAAGCAATGGAAGCACCTCCACCGATGTTACAGACACTGTAGCTTCCGGCCCAGAAACTCCACCCAGGACCTGTCCCCTGGCCGTGTTTGGCGATAATGATATCACACTGACCAAGGAATCGGCTGGTGTGGTTGCTCTCTCTGCTGCCGCTGCGGCGGGCCACATGAACACAGTTTTGGAATCTGAACCAGAACCGATGCCACCTCCCGAGACAGTCAGCAACGCCCCTCAGGCGCGTGCACGAAAAACGTCGTGGATAGCAAATCCGTCGGCGGTGGACAAGCTGCTAACATTGTTTAACACGGGCACCATTTTCCACCGAAGCTCCTCGCCGGAACCCAAAGCCAGTCACATAAGCACAGTGCCCGCCGCCAACCAGATCACAAACAGCACACAGAGTTAGTTTTCATATTTATATTACTTTTTAAAAGCACCTTTTTACTAAAAAATAATTTTTTTTCTATAATTCCATAATTTTTTTTTTTGCACTCTATATTAAATTTAAAAAAAAAAATTTTTTTATAGTCGGAGACTTTAATAACATTTAACAGCTCCAAAACGCATATAACGCTCATAATAAGTATAATTTAGGGAATGTAAATATGGAAATATAATATTGCAAATACAAATGCTGTAATACATTTTAATCTTTGCTTTGACAGACGCCTTAGCAGCAAGCGCAGGAGGAGCAAGCGGTGGCGAAATCAGTACTACCACAAAAAATCCTATTCTTTCGGTAGCACGAAAGTCTTCTCCCGCATCGTGGACATCACTGACTAGTAGCAACATCTCCAACGCCAGCCACAATACGTCGTCAAATGCGGAAACGGGCAGCTCATCTTTCCTCGACACGGCATCTAAACAGCTACGGGATTTTAGCAAACAAGTATTTCGCCAAAACATCTCCTTTAACAACAGCGGGGAACAAGCGGCCGTGGCTGCAGCTGCTCAGCATGAGTTAAGTACGGGGACGTCGGCTTCGAGCAGTACGGAGTCACCATCACCGCCGGAGTGCAATGCGGCCCACATGCCGCTTAGTCTAAAGCGTCAGTTAAAGGAAAACATATCGCCGGAGCACACAATCAATGAGGAGACACTTCACACGCTGCAAAAGCTGTCGAGGGCAGAGGATGTGGCGCTAAAGGCGGAGGCAGCAACAGATCTTGGCGACATTGAGATAGTGATGCACAGTGAGGTAGCCGATTGCCACCTCGCAGAAGATACACAGCCAGAGCAGGAAGACACATATTCGAGTGTCGTTTAAAAGGGGCTACGACCAAATGCAACTGGATGATGCGCAAATTGATTGAAAAGAAAGGCAAGGAACGGAAAGCACACAATTCAACCGAAAAAAAATCCAAGACCCACCCAGCATTCCCATAGCTCTCCTTTGATACTGTACCCCACCCGCCATGAAAAAATGGTTATGAAGTCAAGGATGATATTGATAATGGAAGTTTGGGTTTCCTCCTAACCCTAAAAAACAAATATGATGAAGTACACAAGTTATGTCTAACTTTGTTTTATTTTTGGTTAAATTCATTTTAAGTTTTATAACAGAAGAAAATATAAATGTATTTTAATTATATATATGGCATAAGAAATGCAAAAAAATGCTCAATATTCACTTCAAGAAGAACGCTTCCAAAACGAAAAAATAGAAATCATTTTGGAGGCAGTTTCTTTAAAGTGAGTACTGACCCTAAAATTGATATACTTTAATGAATGTAAAATATAAAAACAACATTTCAAATGTACACACAAAAACCAAACATACTTACAAAACACTATTTGGCTTAGTGTGCCCATTTATGGCTGGCATTTAAAAAGTTGCACAAGTTGCATAAATGTAAAGAGCGAAGTTCGTATAGAGTTTAGATGAAAATCTTGTACTTACCAATCCAAATGATTACTGAAAAGGTAACAATAACTAAAATCAGAACCCACAAAGCCACCGGAAACACATTGTTATACATACTTAAGTTAATTTTAACTACACGAAGAGAACGAATAACACAACGTAATAAGGAAAATCGTCCCGCAATAGGATTAATTTCAACATATATATGTATATGAAGAAAAATTGTTATTTTTGTTCGTTCCTTTCCACCTTCTCCAACTCGCTAACAACTCAAATGGAATGCAAACTGAATCAGTTCTGCCAAGTATTATTAATTGGAACAACTTTCAAAACAAATACATACTTAAATTAGGTACTTAATCAACTTATCGGTTGCCATTAATTATGTAATTAGCCCACCAGTCTATCACAAACCAGTAGACCATCTTAAGTTCAATGACATTGTGCAATTTATAGTACATTCTTAATTTACAACGCAAAACTTAACTACGGAAATGAAGCGCAAACGAAAACAAAAAGTACCCAAAATAAATCCAATTGATCTCATTATGTGATATTTGTCGTAGTGCCCAAAGCGTTCATTGTACGTGTATCTATAACCAAAACATATGAGTTAAGTACAGGGTGTACATACGAAATTCTTTCGTTCTAAGAGAACTTACTCTAGCCTATCCCCCTCAACAACAACAGAGATATTCACAGAACAGCTTTAGTTAGAGGTGACAAGGAAAAAAGGTGAACTTTGCTATTTTTTTAAATGCCAGCCATTAATGGGCCTACTCACATGTTATAGATAAACTTAATACACAAAACAAAAACACATAAATATACATATATATATATAATAACATGTAAACATATTTTGATTTATAAAAGATCTTGTAAATACCGCGTGTGTACTCTCTATTAGAAATGGGGACTTTCTAGACGAAGTTACCCCAAACTCTGAGTTTATTTTGCTCTTTGTTAATGATTTTTGTTTTTGTTTACTATTTTATTGTTTAAAACTATAAATGTAACTATGGATATATGTATATCTCTATATTATGTACGTATTTAAGTAGTGAAAAGCAAACCAATTTTTTTAATATTTTCCGAAAAGTACGAAAAGAAAATGTATCATCTTGAGTTTAGTAGATTTACTTAACAAATGTATCGTACTTAATTTACAAAGAGGAGAAATTATTTCTGGTGCTTATCAGTCGCTAAGAGTTTGCCTTATAGTTAGATCCCTATTTTCGGCAAATCAAAATTTACCACCAAACCCACTTAATAATTTGTTCAGACTTCTTGATGCTAAATTTGTTTATTGCCAATAGCTATGATTTTGTTTTTACATTGGCAAGTTTATTACCTATTAATTTTAAGTTTACAAATTAGAAAGAAAAAAATACTAAACCGAAAAATTTATTGAATAAAAATGAAAGTTGTAATGAAATATTTAATGCTGTTTTTATTAACTTTGTAAAAGGTACCCCAATTTTTATATTTTTGTGGGTATTTTGCTGATTTCTGGCGCCGTTTCAGCAACAGCCTCTTCTTCCATAAAAAGTAAAGTTTTGTTGATATTCAGTACTTTTGGGATTTTTTTGAAAAGAAGTTGCATTTTGGACCAAGTCAGCTATTTTAAAGGTAATACCAATCAATGTTAATAAATGAATTATTCAGGGATTGGATCAAAATAAATTGAGTCCTGGAACCCAGTTTTGTAATAGGGACAATTGTTTCTTGAAATTTTTTCTTCAAATATTTCTGAGGCCATTTTCCGTACGCCAGTCCGGGTAGAAAGGAGGAGCCTTTACTAGTTGGCTAACTTTTTATTAGCGGGGCAACTAAATTTTTTCGCAGGCCGATCAGTTGCTTTGCAACTGAGAGTGCCTATGTGAATGGGTCGCAACAACTCTTTCAAGCGGCTGTGTAGAAATGTAGTAGTCAGAGAGGTACACTTAAGACAATTTTGAAAAAAAATTCTTAAAAACCACTTAAGCCGACTTTAGTGATTCCGGTTAGCAGGCGTTCGAAATTAACAAATTATTCAAATAATTATAACTGAATCAACTAATTGTTTCTTAAATATTGGTGGTTAATCCTAATAATACACACGTAAAGTTAGGAGGAATGGGATTTTACAATATTCATAACACTGGATTTTTTTCACAAAAAAATAGTTGTTGATAAAAAATGTATTATTAACGAGAAATTCTAAGAGTATAAGAGTAGATAAAGGTATTTAATTTTAAATCGGTCAACTAAGACTTGCCAGTGTTACATATGTACATATGTGCCTGGCCCTCCCCAAAAAAGTGGGTTTCGAGAAAAACGCGTTTAAAGTATTACAAATTTGACCTAATGGGTAAAAAAAGTACAAGTTTGTTGTTTTTAATTTTTTGTTTTTTATTTGTTTTTGTTCTTTGGGATTTTGTAATATTTAAATACTATGGAATTACGTTTGTAATTAAATTAAAATTGGACATCTATATCATTTAGCTCCCATATAAAAATCAAAAAATTAAGAAAAAAAAAATAAAAACATTTTATTTTGCTGTTTTGCTATTTATCAAAATATTTCTTAGAGATTAATATTAATATAATTATTTACTATATCAGAATTACGCTTTTAGTTTTGTCAAAATCGGACAACAATATCATAGAGCTATCATATAGATACGATGGCAAAATGCAACGCAAAATCGACATAGTTTTATTGTTTTTAGTAATATAAAGATAGAAATCGAATTGCAATAACTGTAAGGGGATGTAAACTTCGGCTGGCCGAAGTTTGCTTCCATTCTTGTTTTAAAATGTTATATCACCATTAATAGACTAAATCTATCCAAAGCTATAATTTAAATTAAAAATATTGTAATATTTGTTAACACAACTTATTAATTGATTTATTTCGAATGTTCCCATAACGTTTTATGATATTAACCAATTTTTTTTTATGAAGTTCTGGATGTTAATATGAAAATAAAGATTGACAGAAATTATAACTAAGATATATAATCCACACATAATATAGATTTGTAAATGATTTAAGGGGAAAATGTACATATATTATTTTTTAGGCTTGCAACTTTGCATCCATTTAATGGAAGACTTAAATAATAAAAAAAAAAAATTTAAATTCCGACAAAAATTAACAAAATGGCGGACCTTTGAACATTTTTTTTGAAAATCGACTTCCAAAATAAATCGGCTATATCTTCAACAGTTTTTGAAATTTTCACTTGAAATTTTAAAGAAACATTCTTGAATAGTTATAGGTTCGAATTAAATAAAAAATAAATATCGATTTTTTGAAACCGAGAGTGGGGGGTCCACCTAAATAATCGTTATGAACATCTGAACGCTATAAAGTTTGATAAAATTTGGAGTTCAAATAAGCGTTTGCCAATTAAATGTCGTGTTTTCATAGCAAATAACAAGAACATTATCAGGTAAGTGTTGAATAAATATTTTCCAATGGGAATAAAATGATAATTTTCATCTGAAAAAGAACTCGGCTAACTCCCCGCCTTTCCCCATTACCACGAAATTTCCCAGATAATAAGGTTCGCGAAAGCAGCGTCATGACAACTGTTGATAATTCCGGCCCGTAGAGTAAGATGAGCTGAGTGGGAGTGTATTCGGACAGATTCATTCATGAATCCGAGATGCCCCGAGTGGGTAACAGCACAGCAGGGTTGGTCTCTGGCAACAGAGCCCTGTTAGCGCCGAGTCCTTAACAGAAAAGGCGGGCTGAGCTTCTGTCTGCGGCGGTTTGAAAATCTGAGCTCAGTCAGATTCCGCACGTCGTTCGGTGCGGATCGCAGAGGCGTTAATTGTGCGGGACAAGAAAGTGAAACAATGGCCGAGGCTAATATTGAGCTGGACTTGAGCACTGCCGTGGCACCCAAGTGCGCCAAAGTGCACAACAATAATAACAACAGTGCCCGCTCCAGTCGGGCTTCCTCCGGAGCAGTCTCGGATTCGGATACCCACCGATTCGGGTGGTGTGGATGGAATCCGTCGTGGCTGCAGCGCTTCTGTACCGCCAAGTGGGCTCTTTTCTGGCTCTGCTGGGGTGGTGCTCTGCAAGGTGAGGTGTCTGATATTGTCTCGTTCCGAATTACTTGCTTAATTCGGTTAAATGATTTGTCTCGAAAAACTTCTGCCCACGCTGGATTTTTGATTTTTGCGTGGACTGCTTCCCGGTGAAGCGTATAGCTCCGGGCAGCTAAAACTGTTTCACAGCGTGCATTGGAATATTTTTTTAAATTACCTTTATTTTCTACATTACACATGATATGTATTTCCGCGAAGAAAAAGCCAACCCAAATACAATGATTGTGCAAATTTATTCAATAACGATTTTAACATCAATTAATACCCGGAAATGAGTTCGTATCGAGCACAAACTCGAATCACTTTTTGACTTTAATAGGACGATGGGAGGAGAGAAAAAATAAAATATTATATATTGGTAAATAAGAAATTAATCTCATTTACGCCATCCCTTTAAGATTTTCTTATTTTTGGGCATTGAATAGCAATTTACGTCCTAAATATTGATTTGCCATATACACATAGACTCATTCCATATTTATTCAAAAAATTAAAATTAAATACAAAATTAATGCATTAATTAAATAATACAAAAAACAAGTTTGGTGCAACTCCTAGAATAAAATTTTTAAAAATATCCAGGGAAATTGTCCTGCTTCTCAAGGGCCTGCATTAAAATTGGCAAGGTCCAGGATCCATTTGTAGCTCCTTGAATCAATATTGAATCAACATGTCCATATTTTTCTTGATTACAAGACAAACTTTTGCCAGGGAAACTTTTAGCAGGCCTGTATCCGAGAAGTCTCGAGCCGGCTAAGACAATGCAGTGGCGAAGGCGACGAGGACATCCGCATCGCCTCATTAGCATCCAGGCCTTCCCAGTCTCGGCCAGCAGGTCTGTGTGCAACAGATAAGACTTCGACCAAGGAGCTGGGGCGGAGGTGGGACCCGGCTGGGGCTCCTGTGAATAGAAGCGAATTAAAAATTAATATCTGCCCGGAGCAGTCAGGGGAGCTGGAGCTGCAGACGCTCTAGCCCGAGGATGCATTAACCTCAAAAAATCACCGCACTTTGAATAGTTTGAAAGAACGGTAGAAGTGTAAATGGTCCCAGTTTAGACTACAGTTCCCGAGAGGTATGGAGGGTGTTTGGACCCCGGTCCCTTGACGTTGCCATAGGCGTGATTCCGGAGTGTGAGACGGCAGCAGCATAAATCAATACACTGTTAATCGCTGTTTACCCAACTCCAGATACCCGGCTGAGCCGAACTGTAGCCCATGACTACGGCTCAGATTCAGCCTCAATTTCCCACTTTAATGGGTTCAAGCGGTTAATTAAAATTCGCCAATTTCACGAAAGCTGACGACACGTTAGCATGTTCCGGGGGATTAGGCGGTGTTCCAGGGATTGGATGAAATCTGCAAAAGTGCACTCGCTGAATGGAGGGCAGTTTACCTCCTTTGGATGGCTGCCAGTAGAGGTTGAGATGCGAATGTGAAACACAATGGAAATCTAGCTAACTAAAATGATTATCCTTTTTTCGATAATTCTTAAAATATTTTATATAGAAAAACAAGAGAGAACGCTATAGTCGGGTGCTCCGACTATCAGATACCCGTTACTCAGGTAAAGGGAGTGCGAGGGAGATGGAGATAGAAACTTTGATCACGCATAACTTTTTAACGAATGGTCCGATTTGAAAATTTTCTTCTACATTTCGATAGGTATTAATAAACACAATAAAACTGCATTTTTACTTATCCGAAATATTTAAATTTTTAAAATCGTGTATAAGCGATTGTGGGCGTTAAAGGGGGCGTGGCACCATTTTGAAACAAACTTGCGCTGCGTAGGAACTTCTAAAATCTACATGCAAAATGCCAATCTTCTAGCTTTTATAGTTTCCGAGATCTCAGCGTTCATACGGACAGACAGACAGACAGACGGACAGACGGACAGACGGACAGACGGACATGGCTATATCAACTCAGGAGGTGATCCTGATCAAGAATATATATACTTTATAGGGTCGGAAACGCTTCCTTCTAGCTGTTACATACTTTTGCACGAATACAATATACCCTTTTACTCTACGAGTAACGGGTATAAATATGTTCTAAACTTTTAAATACCATTTTCAGATCTAGCTTTCAAAGAGTATAAGAAATCAACAATTATGTATATTTAGTGGTAAAATAAAAAATATTGTATGTTCTTTATGGAATATTTAAGATGAGACTGGTATCTAAAGCAAACTTTAAGTAACCTGAACTCAAATCAAAAAATATCTTTGAAACCGTAGTACCAGCTGCAGGTTTCACGAGAAATTGATTTAAAGAACTATAAAAAAAAGGATTGTCCCACCACGATCACTGTGGCAGTGACTCACGCGGACAACTCTGGCAGGATGTCTGCCCAGTTCCATATTTATGTCTTGACCGTGCCCGTGTGCTGTAAGCAAACTAAGTCCGTGCAGTTGCAGCAGCTCAAATGGCCTGCTAGCATCTGTTGCACTCGGCTGCTGGTTTGTTGTTTCCGCCTCTGACTGACCCCGACGTGGAACGCTTCCGATTGGATGTGGGTGACACTGAGTTGGCCTGCCCGCCCGTTGCTCGGCTTACGGATGCGGATGGGGTGGCACGTGACCGAAAATATTAATCAGTTGACACGGCATTAACATAAATCATCCGCAACAATTTTGAACTGCCGCGTTCCACTCTCGTCGTGCATCCAGTTCAAATTTTTATTGTTGTTTTTATGGCTCTGAATACAGCATCTTCCTATTGAAATGAGTAATGTAGCCAAATAACTCATATTCCGGTTGTAGAAATGGGAGTAACTCAGAACATGTGAACATGTCCATATTAAGGTCCCAGAGATGATCTTACATATATCTAATATAAGCCTGTTTATCTATGTAAGTCTTTCACGATATAGGGAATGAATTAAAATTTATTTTTTTCTAAATCTGTAGTAAAATTAAATTGAAATTAAATATTATTCAAACAATGGAGTGTAAATATGTTCTAAGTAAAAAAAACAATGCCAACCCTAACCTCACAAAAGTATTTTTTAATATTTTGTACGTATTACAATTTTTTTTGAACATTATTTCTTTAATCATGTCGAAAACAAAAAACAAGCTTGAACTTGAACTTAAACAAAATCAGCGTTTCACCTTTAACAAAGAACAGGTGAACAATAGGAGGTACTAGATAAACTACTAAATTGACATAATTGAACCTCCCCGAACCGGTCCATTGGTAATAACTCAAGTAGATCAAGGAATTCATCGAGCGACTAGCTCTGATTCAAAATGTTATAATGATCGAATCGTCGTAGGAATCCCTCATACCTTGTCTTATTTTATTGAGAATTTTGATGTGGATAACTTTACTGCTAATTAGGCAAACAGTTTTTATCTATGTATATCCCACACCACCCAGAAAGGGAGTAGTGCAATCGATGCACATGCAAAATCTGAGATTGTCACGTATCCAATGCAGCCGTCTGCACTTCACTCCGTGCTTCAACCCAAAGGTCACATACTGACTCCCGCTCCAAAGTATTAACTTCCCCGTCTCGAGGTTTCTATTGGGATTTATTAAATTATTGTACTTAGAGGGGTAAATGACTTGTAAGTGTCCCCGCCCACTAACAATACAGTTTTCCCGCTTCTTCTAAAGCTTCTCCCCGGATTTCTGTCACCTTTCCAACCGAAAATGACCAGAAGAGGTCTTCTTTCAGGCGAATATTGAAAAATAAATTGAATTCGTTGTAGAAAAAAATAAATATTCTAAGCAACAATGGCTTTGTAGTTGGGGGAGGGCGGTAGATATTTATTTATGATAGAAAATTCGCCTATGCTCTCAAAATCAATTTGTCGCACATATATTTAATTTATGACCCGCCCCTCAGCTCAACCCCCTCCCCCTCCACAACCAGGAGCTCTATCTTCCGCCCCATTCCCTTTCAACTGCCCTGAATTGTATGACAATCTGTTGACGGTCTGCGCTTCGGTCAGAACACAATGCTGGGGGATGACCCTCAGAAGAAAATACTGCACATTCGGAATAGTTATATTTTGTGGGAAAGACCAGGTTTACAAGGAACTCGCTGAGTAAACGTTTTTATTTCTGAGATCATATAATTTCGTTTTGTGTCGAATTAAAAATAGAGAAAATCAAAATTTAATTAACTTGAATATACTTGAAATATAAATAGTTTCTTTCCAGAATGAAACGAATAGGTGCGTCAATAATTTGTTAAAGATAATTCTAGTTTTCTTCCATTTTTAAACTTTTTAATTTAGTAAAGTCGCTATACTTTTTTGATTATCTTATTTATTTTATAATTTCAATGGTCAAAAAAAAAAAAACACAAAAAACGCATTTGTCGGAATGTCATCTAAGCAAGAATATAACAAGAAATAAAGCAAATATAGCAGCTTTTCAGCTGTTAAACAAATGAAATCGATCGTTCCTATGACAGCAATATGATATAGTCGTCCGATTTTTATAATTATTATATTTACTTTTAAAAATATTAACATAAAACTATCAATATTAAAATAGCACCACAGAACGAACAAGAAACGCTATAGTCGGGTGTAACGACTTTTTGTTACCCTTGACTCTGGTAAGTAATTTTACCAAAACAACTCTGCCTTCAGAAAAATGGTGTTCCGCTATTAAAATCTTAAGACAATTGTCCAAGCTAAAATGGTCCTTAAATCAGGAAACCCCAAAACTCTACAACCCTTCTACCTTAAAACAAGGCTCATTAAACTATGGATTTCTTTGAGTGTATGCCCAACTCTGTTTAAATTCTTTGTTATTCCAGGTCTGATAGTGAACGGACTGATCAACGTGTCCATTTCCACGATCGAGCGTCGCTTTGGGCTGCGCTCCCGGCAGATGGGATTGGTAGCCAGTGGCTATGACCTGGCCTCGTTCGCCTGCCTGGTTCCGGTAACCTATTATGGCGGACGGAGAGGAGCCTCCAAGCCTCGCTTCATCGCCATTGGGCTGATAGTGATGGGCCTCGGATCGCTGGTCTTCCTGCTGCCGAACTTCCTGGTGGGCAACTACCGGGCCACCATTGCCGAGGCGAATGTGTGCGAGCAGTCGGGATTGCAGTCCAACTCCAGCCAGGCAGTGGTACGGACTCTTGGTGAGCGACATGGGGACCTGTCCCGACTAATTCCCATATCCTTGCAGACCTCCTGCGAGCTTAACGGCCTGGGCGAGGGGGAGAGTCTAACCTGGACGGTCTGGCTGTTCCTGGGGGCCCAACTGCTCCACGGAGCCGGAGCCTCGCCCCTCTTCACGCTGGGCGTCACTTATATCGATGAGAACGTCTCCAAGAAGATGTCATCTGTTTACTTGGGTAAGTTGCAAACGACACAGACACAGAAACAGAAACAGACACAGACGTTGATAAGACGCGCAAAAACTTTTGTCTGTCGCAGTCGCACAACAAATGAAGTATGCACAAATACCCACACTTCTGGCGGTTCGGTCCTTATGCCATATCAAAGTATCTGCTAGTTGCTCTCACACATGCATATTTATTCGCCTTATTGCCAATCGACGTCGGCTACAAAGGGAGTAAACACTATTTACTGTTTGCCCCCAAGCCGCTCCGATCCCAATCCCGCCGGGGGTTGGGGGTTGGGTCTTGTGTCAGCCGGCTTCCTTCCCCCTGCTGACCCAGTTTTAAGGAGCCCGATTGTTGCTGACTCAGTTGAGACGCGGGTCTGGGGCAGAGCCAACGGCAGCTGAATTTATTGGCTCTTAGTTAGGTTTATCGTGCCATCGAAAGACGACTGTGAAATTATCAAACCCGTCCAGCATCAGCTCTTCGCCGCTTTGGATATCGCTGTCTGGCTTTGAGACAATTGAAATCCGCCGATTCGAGACTCACTGGGGTGGTGAGGCAGCCCCCAGGAAGTGATTGCACGGTGCGGCTCAAAGATAGATAAACAAATAAATGCTCAATCGGCGAAATGTCTACCCAACTCTAAATATTGTCAGCAGTTTTGATCCTACAGTTGATCTCGCATTTGTATCATTAAATGCCAATGAAAGGATAATTTCTGTTGTCCATACATTATAGAAATGTAACCACATTCAGTCATAAAAAAATGCCCTCAAATTTAACAACACTTGATCAATTTTCTAATGCAAACTTAGATGTAGCTGTCTGATAATGATGATATGGTATGACTTGTTGACAACCTGCACCGATGGCATGTCGTTGGGTGTTGAAACTTAATTTAGAGTTTGTTTTTGCAGGCATCTACTACACCATGGCCACCGTGGGACCTGCGATTGGATACGTTTTCGGCGGGCAATTGCTGCTTATCTATACGGATTGGATGAGCGTGGATCCAATCCAGTAAGTGCATCCTAGTAATGACTCATACATAGTGCGTCTGATAAGCTAGCCTTGATTGTTATTAATCGCTCGACTTCGCTCGACCGTCAAGTGGGTGAGTGGGTGCTGATGGAGATAAAGAGCAGGTGACTTTAACACCAGTCGTTGGGTGGGAAAATGGCAGGGGTGGCTGCCGCTGAGCTTATTTGTTACCCGGCAACGGAAAATGCCACAAAGCACCTCGCCGTGTAAATATCTCCAGAGAGTAATAAAACAACATTCCCGCTGACATCGAGGAAATAAGGTGCGAACGGGAATGAGCGCTTGTTTGATTCACCTTGAAGGGGCAGGGGGGTGGGAAGGAACCAGGCTCGCAAGGATTGCCCTTTTCCACAGCAGAAAGCCATCTGCATCCGCGTGCGCCTGGATACAACCGCATGGCTTATTGTCAAGGAGATGCCATAAGTCATAATGTCTGCTGAGCCTCGCCCCCCTCCCCCTCCCCCGCGTTCGTAAACAATGCCGAGAACATGAAAATTTTGTTTATGATTTTGTACATGTTTACGAGCGGTTAGAGCTAAAAAAAATTATTTGGGCGACCTTTTGTAGCCACAGTATAAATTCCGATTTCAGTTAATTTGGCAAGCCGGAAAAGTAGGACCAAAAAAGGCAATTTTTTTTATTTCAAGCCCCTTTTAAATAATGAGTATTTTTACAGTCTATCAGAAGGTATTATAATTTCAGTTGACCCTTTAATGTACTCAAATATATTTTTGGTCAGCATCACCAGGCGAGTCGATTTAGCCATGTCCGCCTGACGAACGCGTCTTTATTCAAATCGTCTCTCAGATTTAAGGCGATTTGACTAAAAGTTTCCGAAAAGTCTTCTGTATATTGCAGTTGATATATATATATATATATATTAGTAAATATTATATATGGATATAAGGAGTATGTGTGTAAGGACCTACTTTTAACAACTTATATTGTATAACGTTGAATTTAAAACACCAGAATTAGTTTTTTTGAAAAGGAGTTTTATGGATTGGACATTGGATTCACTTATAGATACTGCTGCCTTTGATAAAAAATTTACTCAACTGACATGACGGGAAATGAGTAATTTTAAGGAAACTTTGACACTATTTTGCCATTCCTAAAATATAAAATAAAATTTTGATGTTTTTAAATACTTTTATTGCATACCAAGAAATTATATTACTAAAAAAATGTTGTATAAAAAATCCTTTTCAAAATTAATGGCTTATTCCAATGACAAGGACAATTGTTCAGGTCGGGAACCATTTTAATATAATGCGTTGGTAAATTGAGTTTAGTTTTAGCAAAAAAAAATTCCATTTATATAAGCCACATAATTCAAAATATCATTAAACAGAAATTGGGATCACAAATATTGTGGGAAAAGTGCAATTTGCTCGTAAAAAATAATTGTATAATATTCCTCTGTAAATAATCTATTTTTACCCCTTGCAGACTTAGCCTGACCAGCGACAGTAAGGTGTGGATCGGAGCCTGGTGGCTGGGCTTTATTTTCGCAGCTGCCATGTGCCTTCTAATCGCCCTGCCCATTTTCGGATATCCGAAACTGCTTCCCGGGGCGGAGAAGCTGGAAAGGGTTTCCGAGGCGCATGCCACCACCGCGGGTACGGATAAGCCCAGTGAAGTGGCCAGTGGACTGTCTCAGATTCCCCGTGCTGTACTCGGTCTGCTGGGGAACCCCACTTTCTTCTTCCTGAACCTGGCCGGGGCCACTGAGGGCCTGGTCATAGCCGGATTCGCCGCCTTCCTGCCCAAGCAAATCGAAAACCAGTTTAGCATTTCGCCCATGCACTCCGCCCTGGTGATGGGCCTCATCACGGTTCCTGCGGGTGGTGGTGGCACCTTTCTCGGCGGCTACCTGGTGAAGAAGTGGAATCTGGCCTGCAGTGGAATCATCAAGATGTGCCTGATGGCCACCGTGGTGGCGACACTTTTCACCACCTGCTTCCTGGTGTCGTGTCCAAATCCGAAGTTCGCTGGAGTCACCGCAGGATATGGCCTAGGAGCCAGGAGCGATCCACCCACTTTGGAGGCTGGATGTAACTCCAACTGCGGCTGCAGTCGGAAGAACTATGACCCGATCTGCGGCATCAATGGCGTCATGTACTACAGTCCGTGCTTCGCAGGATGTGCCCAGGAGGCGCATGCGGACAGTCTGAAGCGCTACCACAACTGCAGCTGCATCGGAGGCGTTGGCTGGGTGGACGAGGGCGGGGCCGGCCATCCCACCTCCGGTTCAGAGCCAGATGCCACCAACCTGAAGTGCGACTCCACATGCAGAAGCCTCCCGCTCTTCGTGGGCCTCTGCTTCATCCTGATGGTCTTCACGTTCCTCGCCACAATGCCCGCTTTATCGGCCACATTGAGGTGAGTGTGGTTTTCGCTCTTTATAATCATTAACATCTTGAACATTAAATCCATATGGCTCGATCAAATGAATGATCAAATTAAACATAAATGTGCCAAATTTTGAGCGGGACTCAGTCCAGAGGATTTTCTTTCAAGAAGTTCAGGCTCAATTTAAGCAAGTCTTTGTTCAAATAAATTATATTCATCGGTTTTACAGGCTTACCTATTTTAAAGGTTCTGTGTCAAAACTAAGGTGGCTAAGGTTCTTCCCCAAAATGTCTCAAAAGATTTTTATGTTCAATCAAGAAATAGTTAAATTGACAAGCGAAACTGGTTTTGTTGCAGTTGGATTCCATGATAAGAAAAATTAGGATTTTTAATAACAAAAAACGGTGGAATTGACGTGTATTTTTGAGGGTCCATTTTTTAAAAGTCCGATTTTAGCAACTAAACTTGGTCGGACTCTTGTAGTTTTTTATTAAAACCTGCACTAGCCGAAGGAGTTCTGGAAAAGGGACAGATGAAAGCTTTGTTATAATTTATGAAAAAACCAATTATTGTTAGATTACCAAAGGAAGTAAGACAAAATAGACGAAACGTTTGTGCAATGGTTATGGTTGTTGTTAACCAAAATCAATATTTGAGTAAATATTTGAGTACCCCAAATGATAATGCCTTTCCTTCCGGAGATAGGCTTGTTGGGGAATCATTTATCCGGCTAAGGATACCTATCAGCATAAATTACTTTTGCTTGCAGATGTGTTCAGGATGACCAGCGATCCTTCGCTCTAGGCCTCCAGTGGATCAAGGTTCGATTGTTGGGCACCATACCAGCTCCACTAATATTCGGAGCACTGATCGACGAGAGTTGCATTTTGTGGCAGGAGTCCTGCGATAAGGAGGGTGGAGGAGCTTGTCTCGTCTACGACAATTTCTATATCAGCCGGTGAGATTAAGAGTGTTGATATATCAAAATAATGGTCACCACTTTTATAAACATTTCTACAGCTATATGTGGATATTGGCGTTGATCTGCAAACTGGGTTCTGTGGTATTCTTCTTGTGCGCCTGGTGGTTTTATGTGCCACCCAGTAAGGCCTTAAATGCAAAAGGCAAGGAAGACGTTAATTGAGGACTGACCACAACAACAATCGAACTGAAACTTAAAATAATAATCCAGCCAGTCATGTGGCTCATATTGTGGCTCATCATTAACTGGCTTTAACCAATTAATTATGGACTTAAGGAATCTTATAAGATATAACATTAGCTCTTCGCAACATCATTTTCCATTTGACCTAACTAATAAAAGTATGTGTGTAGCTTTAAAATCGAAATTGCTTTAATTCAAGTATCTTTGGAATGTTCTACTTGTAGCAGGGCTTCCTAAACATCTGCTCATAGTTTAACATGCTCTTAACTAGCACTAAAAATAAACAATTTATAATATTTATCTTGAGAACGTTTTTGGTAAGAACTGACCCCATCGGCTGCCAACAATCGTGGGGCAAACGGCGTGTCTGGTCAACAGATTCGGTTCGCCGTCATTGTGTAGATTGTACCAGAATAGGGCGGAACCCTTCCTCGGCTGGATGGCGATTTTGGCTTCCGGAAAAATAGTGGCACCACCAACTGGAACATCGGACATCTGGAGAAGGTTGTCGCAGAATAAAAGTGAAAAATAAATAATTAATTTAAGATTTAAAAGGATTGAGTGGAGAATACTTTATAAAACATGATAGTTCGAATGTGAGACAAGAAAGGTAGCAATCTTCGGCAAGCCGAAGTTTATATACCCTTGCAGTTATTACAAAACGACTACATTTCGATTTCTATGCCTATATTACTAAAAACAAAGAAGCTATGTTGATTTTGCGCTTCATTTTGCCTTCGTTTCCATGGCAGCTATATGATATTGTTGTCCGATTTTGACAAAACTAAAAGCGTAATTCTGATAAAGTAAATAATTACTACTCAAAGAAATATTTGGATAAATAGAAAATCAGCAAAATAAAAATTGTTTTTTATTTTTAATTTTTCGATTTTTCTATGGAAGCCTTATGATAAATATGTCAGATTTTAATTTAATAACAAGAGAGAACGCTACAGTCGGGTGCCCCGACTATCAGATACCCGTTACTCAGGTAAAGGGAGTGCGAGGGAGATGGAGATAGAAACTTTGATCACGGATAACTTTTTAACGAATGGTCCGATTTGAAAAATTTCTTCTACATTTCGATAGGTATTGATAAACACAATAAAACTGCATTTTTACTTTTCCGAAATATTTAAATTTTTAAAATCGTATATAAGCGATTGTGGGCGTTAAAGGGGGCGTGGCACCATTTTGAAACAAACTTGCGCTGCGTAGGAACTCCTAGAATCTGCATGCAAAATGCCAATCTTCTAGCTTTTATAGTTTCCGAGATCTCAGCGTTCATACGGACGGACAGACAGACGGACAGACGGACAGACGGACATGGCTATATCGACTCGGCTAGTGACCCTGATCAAGAATATATATACTTTATAGGGTCGGAAACGCTTCCTTCTAGCTGTTACATACTTTTGCACGAATACAATATACCCTTTTACTCTACGAGTAACGGGTATAAAAACCGAAATTCCATAGTATTTAAATACTACCAAATCCCAAAAAACAAACAACAAATTAAAAACAACAAAGTTATACTTTTTTAAATTTTTTTCCGATTGTTCCTATGGGAGCTTTATGATATAGTCGCACCTGCAATAGAAAGACAACTTTTGGGAAAGTTTCAAGCAGATACCTTTAAAACTTAGGGACTAGTTTGCGGAAAAAAGGACGGACGGTCAGACGGACGGACATGGCTAGATCGACTCTCCTGGTGATGCTGATCAAGAATATATATACTTTTAAACTTTTGACTGAAATTATAATACTCTCTGCAAGGGTTTAAAAACATAACAACTTTTTTAGCTGTAGGTTTGAAATCGGTGACCTTAAATTTGCTTTTGATATAAAAAGAGATACTTACGTAGAACAAAAATGTAAATAACCGATCCCCTTCCTCGAGCAGTTCCTAATAGAATAGCGAATATTTATTTGCAATGAATATATGACTGTGTGTACAACAGGTCACTTGCCGGATGAAGTTTAAGGTCCTTGTAGTCGCTGTGCTCTGGAAAGTAGCCGCCCAGGCCATAGTTGATTCTGGCCAATGAAGTTGTATTGCCAACATCCAGACCCGAAATATCCGCCATGCGATTTACCAATGCCTTGTCCAACTTGCCGCCATCGTCTTCGGTAACTTGGACGTGGAAAAGGCGATTTACCTCGACTTCATGGTTGTCGTTCTCAGTGGTGCCCTGAGTCATCTCGTCTCGGGTCAAGTTCGTCAGTTGAGCGATCTCGCTGTCATAGATCACGTCGTGATATAGCCAGATGAGCGGGTTTCGGCTGATCTCCTCCTCCTTTAAGGGGGCATATCGCATAAATGGAGTTGCAGTGCTATTGTAGCGACACACCAACTGAGGACCTGGGGGAAACTTCCCCCTGCATCCCAGTTCCACGGCCGTGGGAGCTGGTGTTGCCTTTAAATGGATCAGTGGAAGCGTTGGGTCTTGGGACAGTTCCCTCAGATAGTCACTTAAGTTGCCGACAGAACCTGAAGTTTAAAACGTAATTTTAAAAGTAACATTTTATCATAATAAGGGGCACATTATTATCATACTCGCCTTCTTGAAGCCGACTTATTATGAACATTTTTCGAAGCTCTTCTCGTTGTGGGACATAGAGTTCTCCAAACATACTATTATGGGGCTCCGTTATAGTACTCAAAGCTAGTCGGTACCACTGAGCAGCTCGTCTAAATTCTGATCGCTTGTACATATAGTCTGCTAGGGCCAGACAATCGGGTGAAGTCATTGGGGTTCTATAAGAGTACCTATTTCAGCCACTAAGCTTAAACCTAATTCGCAGTCTTACTGGAGTTGTTGGGCTGCCACAAGACCCTTGGCCATATCCGATGACTTCAGGTCATAGAAGTGCTCTATTCTATCCATTCCGAACAAGGCCTCTTGCATATCCTCTGCGTTGGGAGTACGATTTACAAGTTTATGCATTTCCTCATTCGGAACTGAAAATCAACCAGTGAGATTTAGATTTTTTTTTTTTTTTTTTTTTTTTTTTTCGCGCGGAGTCCTACGGCCCACTTACCCGCCCAACCGACCGAGGGGCGCAGCCGTGTATCGTACGGCACGATTCGCGATAGCATAGACGCGAGATAGGAAAATAAAGGTAAAGGTCCGGGGAAAACAGTAATAGTTAGATCAATCTTGTGCCAATGAAGCAAGTATTAATCGTTTTAGGAGCGGCAGAGAGTCAAGATTTGATATTACAGGAAAAAGTCTATTATAGTCAGAACATAATACTCTGAAAGGCTCATGCAAGGCATAGTTAGATCTACAATGATTTAAAATTAGGGGAATATAATTTCTAGTTAATCTACTTGGCACAGAAAAGTTTAGCCGACTTAACAAGTCGGGGCAGTCAATATCACCATGTATAAGGTTATAAATAAAGATAGTACCAAGCATCGTTCTACGGTTGGCTAGGGATGGTAAATTAATCAAAAGAAGTCTACTAGAATAAGAAGGTAAGATAAGATTTGCATCCCAGTTTAGGCGCCGTATTGTTATTGTTTCTCATACCTTTCACACTTTCTTGATTTCTGATGTAAGCAATAACCTTGGGCCAATCCTCACGTGTTCTTCTTACAAGGCGAATAGAATTTAAGGGATTAGACACATAGTGAATCCGGTCTGCTTTACTAACAAGATGTCCATTTTCTATGGAGTCAATGTATCTGGGATGGGAAGGGCTACTGTCGGTTTATTTGTTATGGACAGAATGCTTAATATCATACACTCTGAGAGTTTCTACTTTATGTTGCAGGGAGCTAATAAAGTTGCTCAAATGCTCCATATAGGAGTTTTCAATCTCCCGGAGTTCTGACAGGGCTCGAATTGAACTTGAGTAGATTATATGCTTAGGGTCATCTTTACTGGTCTCTTTTGTTGCACAAAAAGTTGATGCGAGTATAAATATTAATTTAAATAGAATATAAACCAACATACGAAGCAACATTCTAGAGAATAATATTTTGTATTTCGACGTACCTAAATTTAAATAGTTACTTTTAAAATTAATTAACACGGTATATTAGTTACGCTTTCTGCTGATTGTAAGGTAATGTGCTTACACTCGAAAAGAAAAAGGTCGGAAGTTATAAAATCGCAATTAAATGCAGAAAATTTTACTTAGTTTTAAAAACTTTAGAACTTTAATATAGTTTTACACTTGATTTCTTTTTAAGGATTTTATTTTAAGATTACATTTTTAGCGAAATTTCTAAAATTTACGAGGTTACAAACATCAATGTTTAAATCTGTTATTTAACCATGTCTAAAGTGTCAGCTGTAGACTGTGTTTTAGCATTAAATGCTACAAAATAATACAAAATAAACAAATTAAAGTACTGACGAAGAGTTAACTAAAACTCAATTCCATACTCTTATATTCTTCTTATACGGTGTCTTATACATATACCACTGTTTAACTGCACAAGCAATTTGCCCATGCAAGGTAAATTATGTAGAGTGGCGCAAGTAAGGTCAGCTAGATGGCGTGGCAAAAGTAAAGTAAGCTAGATGGCGTGGCACAACAAAAATGAGGCTTATTAAAAATGTTGATGCTAACATATTTAGCAGGGGGATGAGGAGACTGGCAACGCCGGGATGGGGAGGGTCTTGAGGGGGGCAACGCTGGCAGTCTTGAGGGTATGATTTCGGTCGTTGGGGCCGAGTTCGGAAAACTTAGGAATTGGGGAAAAACCGGTAAAGTTCATTTTGACGGTCTGGTAGCTCTGTATTTTGCTCAAGGGTAACACGCGCAGCGGCAAAACTGGTGTATCGATCACTTTCCACGGAAAACTGCTCGCGGCGACCTGCCCCCCACCACCGGCTACCATCCACAGCACTTTTTTCTAGCGGAAAATGCGGCGGAACGCAGAATTTCGCGACACACAGATTTCAGGTCCAGGCAGTGTGACCACCTTTGGGTTTAACGCAATATAGGCGCTTTCTGGACACTTTCACAAGGCGTTACGGGTCATTCTGCGTTTTCTCCAGGTGGTCATACAGTTTTGACGCCGTTGTTCAAAGTTCTTAAGTTACCATACTTGTGTTTTTTATATTTTGGACCTTTTGGGGCCAAGCGGGATCTTTAAAACCCTGGACGGCCTAAAACGGTTAGAGGATCAAGGCAGGTGTTTCTACTTGATGGTAGACGTCATACACCTGACTGGGGTGGGTAATAGTCTTATGAATATTATTTTAACAATTTAAGGGGGGCTTCTCATGTAAAATTTTAAAATCGATCGATAGAATAACGTCTTGAGAGTATATTCCCGAAGTTTTATGACTCAACTCTCAATATTATGGAAAATATGAGTGATTGAACGAGCGCGCTTTGTGTGCGATTTGGAGAGCGGTACAAAATTTAAATCGTTTTTTCTCAAAACTATGATTTCAAAAACGCGGTACACGATTACGATAAAAATACTGAACCGATTTTTGATTTCTAAAAAGTGTTTTGCAGATTATACATTGAACGAGTGCATGAATATCTGAAATAGTAAAAAAAAGTTATTTTATACACTTTTCAGACCAATTCAGCAACAAAAAAAGACGAAAACATGCCACTTTTTTTTTCAAGACGTGATTTCAATATTTTAAAATCGAATTTTTTGAAGTTGCAGACATTCATGCACTCGGGGGAACCCTGTTGTATGTTGAAAACTTTGGGCTCCACACTGTACCGCAATAAATCCGTCAGCCGCGTCGCGCAACACGCGACCTTGAATAAGTCCGCCATTTTGTTTTTTAGAATTTTCAAAAAATTTTTCTCATACTTTAAACATGTCTTCAAATATATGCAAAAAATTATTCGTGTAAGTTTTCATTTTCCAAGTGAAAAAATTCCCAAAAAACAACTACTTTTTTACTTGTTACATGAGAAGCCCCTTTTAATTAAACAATTTACGCACCCAGCCGACGCCGGGACACACGCTAGTCATGATGGGAACCTCAGATGACGGATCCGTGAAGCAGGTCGTTTACACCGAAGTGGTAAGTAGCTCCAAATACCTAAAACTCATGCATCTGTATTTAAATATATTTATTTATCTATATAGAAGAAAAATACATTTACGGCCATGCAGATCATGGCTGCGTTTGAGCAGGTGCGGGAAGTTATCGCATCAGTGGAGTTGGAAAGCATTTAATTGCTATTATTGTGGACGATTGCCCCAACGAAATCGTCGCCGCGGACATGACCAACGTGCTGCATCTCCTGCCCAATATCCACAGGTGGATGGTTTTCCGGGAGCACAATGCTCATCAGAAGCTGGAGCTGGCCTGGAGCGGGACGAGCCACTTTCCTGGCAGTGCCAAGAGGCGCGTGCGTGGCGAGATCCGCGTGCTCCGGGACGTTGTGAGCCGCCGGTTCGCTATATGGTCGACGCCGTTCGACCTGAGGGAGGCGAACAACGGAGTCCTGGAGACCACTGGCCAGAAGTGGGCCTCTTTGGCGGCCGAATTAATGGTCGAGGCATTTACGCTGGAGCCAAATCTCAGCGAGCTAGAGGCGCACAAGCTCCTGAGGAGGATCATCTGCCTTCTCTGCCTACTAGAGGACTTGGATTTAGACTCCACGGGGTAATTAATAAATATATGTAGTAATAATGTTATTATTAATAATAGGATTTAAAAATCTATATGTATTTATGTATGTGTTTTTATGCTTTACAGTTATGAAGATTAGATGCTATTGTCATCTCGCTTTGGCTCGAGAAAATAAAAGTGTTGTTTGAAAAATTTTGTTTGAATGTTTGAATACAATACATAACGACGCACTCACTGAATTGCCAGCAAAATCTCCACCCTGCAGCAACGTTGCTATCACCTCCTCCAAATATTTAAAGAACTAGTTGAATCCCATTTTCGCATTTGCGAAAATGAGCCAAGATTGAAGAAAGTGGCTGCTAGGGCTGGCCAGGCAGCTCTAAAAAAAATGTATTACCAGTTAGAGAAGGAAGTGAAAGCGGAGAGGAACCCTTCCAGCAATGAAGTCGCCGCCGTGTTTTCGCTGCAGCAACAGGCTTATGACCTGGTTGCAAAGAAGATCTGCAGGTTCGAAGGGAGCGAGCCGGAGGCACCTGTGGACTCCATCCTGGGAGGGGACCGAGCTGGCGATCCAGAAGAAGAATGCACCTTGGACCAGTACCTGGACTTTCGCCTGACCGCCGATGACGCCTATAGTGTCGTGTCAGACAGCACCGAAGCGGCAGAAGCAACCCACGAAGCAGGAGGCAAACATTCTGCTAGGGTGAATCCTTTCGAGGTGGAGACGCCGACCAAGCGGACTTAGATGAGCCCCAAGTTCCAATGCAGCCTTTGCCTCGAAATGTGCAGCTCGTCTTTATATTCTTCATGAGCACCGACTGGGGTGTTTGTTTGAGAAGTTCAACCACGAGTGCGGATGCGGCCGCCTAACGGTGTTGCATTCGCAGATGGCTGGCCACCGCCGATCCTGCGGACTTCGGAGCAACCCCATGGTGAAAGTTACGGGCGAAAGCACCGGGAAGCATTATAATATATAATAAATTAATTTTATATAATAAAACAACAATAAAACCGAATATTTTCGGCTGCACTTGTCGCTCTCACTGTGCTTTTATTAGCTTATGAGGAATGCGGCAGATTGAGCGAAATGGCTATATATACTTTGCATTGTTTGTATGGGTCATACAATGTCGACTTTTCAGATGCGTCTCAATTTAATTCCACGTTCCACATTTTTTGATACATGATGCATGGCTGGCACACATAAATTTTAATTGAATTTCTTATTTCACAAATAAATATTCTTTGAATTGGATTTTTTTGGGAATGCTGCGTTAAATTTCAGTGGAGTTAGGAAACGATTTGGATTTTAAAAACAATTTTCTTTTTCGCGCGGAATCCCTCGGTCAACTACCGTGTAAGTCCGGGAAAGAAATGTGTTAATGAAGTAAGTACTTATTGTTTAAAGAGCGGCAGAGAGTCAATATTTGATAATATAGAAAAATCGAGTGCTACAACTATTAAATACCCGTCTGCTATACATTTCTTAATAAATTTTAAAATAATTGTTCGATTTGAAAAATGTTGTGTGTGGTGATAAATTTTGATCGAATAATTGTATACTGTCCAAAAATATTGATTACGATGTCTCTACAGAATTTAACGATTGATACTTGCGCCACGTAGGCATCACTAGAATAATGGTCCTCATAAAAAACTGTTGAAAAATCTAGATAAATCAGATTAATCAGTGGAGTCTCCAACTAATTAAAGCTGGCAGCGTTTCCCAGTGAAGTCCCTTTGTAGTTCCAAGTCCACGTTCCAATAATTACTTCGTCAGTTAGGTTAAATAAATAAAAACACATTGGTAGATTTCAACTGCCGAGAGAGACGTTTATTCTCTTGGAAGGTCCATGAGGAAAGAGGAAGTAAGCTTTTGTAGTGTGGCTGTATTCGCTAAAACAATCGATTACGATTTCATATGTATATATCATTTTTGCTACATTAAAATACTCTGTTTCAACGCATAAGTTCAGTATCAGAAATATATCATCTCAACTATGAATGTGATATTTCAACAAGAATAATGTCCGAATCGCTTAATACAAAACCATCTTCTTCTTTATAAGTAACGGGAATAATTAAAGCTTATTGTATGAGTTTAAGACTCAAACATTTCGACATATCTTGAACTTTTACTAAAACTAATTCTTTTGCTTATTTATCAACCCACGAGTCCTTAAATAATACGAAAATTGTTCAGAAGAGGATGTCTGTCATACTGAAGTATTGGTTAGCTAATATAATATATTCCATATGAACTTATGTGAATAAGAATATTTTTAGGATACACAAAACCGTTCAAACCAAATTCCTACAAAGCACCATAGATTATCCATTTTCGGGATGGACCACAAGGTTTTACTA